CATGATTTTGACCCGTATAATTCAAGAACTTTTAAGACTATCTGTTTTAAAAAAATGTAATTCTGCCCGTCCTCTTAACGTAATAATATCTTGCTGCGTGTAATTTAATTGTTTTTGACTTTTAAGCGTTTTACATTGGGCCTGCTGTAATTGCCTCTGCTGTTTCGGTGTCTCTGCCACTCTCTCATTATTGTGTTTGTATGTTATTTATTTATGAACGTATTCATGTATTTGCAGTTATAGTTTATTATTGGGCGAAGCTAATAAAATAAAATAAAATAGATAACTAAATAAAATGGAAGCGAATTACATCGGATCAACATATTTTGAATTGTGTTGAAAATCACCACATTGAATTCGAATGATATTAATAGAAGTTACGGTGCTGAAAAGCTTTTCTCCAGTTGAACAGTCAGTTATTGATGATGAAATTTTAACTTATAATGCTACTGAAGTACAACTTTTTGATTCCTACATGGTTTAAAAAAATTGACGCAAAATAGTTCCGTGTGGCGTTCCAGAGGGTAAAGTTAACCAAACTGAATTATGCGAACCTCCGATAACGACCTTTAGTTAACGACCAGTAATGAAGTGTCTATAAACCAATCCACAAGACAGCCGCCAATACCACATTATGTAATGATTAATATAATATTATAWAATCTTCCGTGTGGAAGACTATCGAAAGCTTAGCTACACCTAATTGTTTGAAAATGTTTCACAGAAAATGAACATTTTGTAAAAGGGAATTAAAACTCAAAGGAAGATCTCTCAGACTGAACGKCTTTTTCAGTTCTTTAGTCTATTCAATGTATTCAATGGATAATAATGTTCAATTTCAATTTCTTTCTGACGTTTTCACAATAAGATGTAGATCTAGAAAGTTGGCAACAGTTGGTGGTGTATAGTCCTCGAAAAATCCGCACTGACTTTCGCTTAACAGACTGATGCTATAGATACCAGAAATTTATAGCTTGTTTCCAATTTTTCCAATAATTTTGACATAATACTGGTAAGAGAGATAGGACGGAAATTTTCCATGCAGCCTTCATCAAACGTTTTGAAAATAGGTGAGATATATTAGCCATTGTCCATTCAAGTCAAGATTCAAAATGTATTTAATCAAAGGGTGCATCAGACCAGGCACAATTCTTCAGGATTTGTGGTGGAATATCGTCTGACGCAGGAGATTTTGATTTATTAAGAGGCCATTGAGGAGTTTGAAACACTTCTAAAGTATAACAATAGATTAATAAGTTTTGAAGCAGATGTGCAGTGAAGCATTTATTAGAAAATTATCATAATCTTCTACTGTCTGAAGAAAAAATATTATGTCGGTRTTTATACTAYTTGCGATGCTATGATCATCACTCAAAACAGATATCGCAATGGCTTTTTGATTCTCTTCGCTATAGCGTTTTATGATTTTTATTTTGTCTTGAGATCATGACACTACTTCCTTGTTGTATTTCCATCATGTTTGAATTAGTTGCTGATCTGCCAAATTACATTCATATTCCATTATTAAGGAACGTTTTGACCTTTTTGTGTAGGTCTTTTTTATTGAAAATAATTCTGGAGACGATATACCACGTGTTTTGTAGAGAGAAAACGATGTAGAAGTCTAATTGATTTATGTGCACATAATATTTTTCAACCATTGTGCAACGATTGGCAACGGATTCCATCATTCAGAAACAAAAAGTTAATCAGTTTTTAATTTCAAAATAAAAGTTCACAGCTGTACTCTGCTAATAGCTATATTTCAAAAGCCAGTTGGCTTTGAGGAACAGGAAAGTTATGTTTTATACTCTATAGGAAATTGATAGGATAGGATACAATCGTTTTGCTTACCGTCTGGTTTGTGCGATGAAATACTTCTCACGCCAAACTCAAGTGAAGTCTTCAGTGCACCGCATATTAGAACGGGCCAAGCAATAGCTAAATATACAATCAAGCGCATGTCCAAACGTCCTTGAAGAGTCTCAAACACTGAGTGCTCAACACAAGGAAGATCTGGACAGATTTTTTTTTTTACACTTGAATGATGACTCGAAACAAATTTTCTTATCGAAAGTTCAGGTTGCTTCTAGAGGTACCGAAGCGATTACATATAGCGAGATCATAGATGACGTAATTCAAAGATCGACACAATGGAGAAGAACAAAATGCAAACAAACCTCACCGTAACTAATTTTAATACTCATTGTATATTATTAGTATATTATTCTGTCTCAGTCATTGTTATAAATATTTTTTCACAAGGTGTGAGTAATACGCGTCTCCGACGGCAAACAGTGGCGGATTAGTCGAAGGTTGGGTACCCTGTACCACGACTGATCATTGTGACAGGATGGATGGGTCGCGATGCGCGATGCTTTAAGTAATGATCCGAGTAAGAAGCAGGCAAGCAAACGGCAATGGAACGCATGAAGGTGCCAATTTTGTATAATCCATCCATCTCATAATTTCAAAAGTAAGTAATATCTGATTCCGACTTTCTTAGCTTTAATATTAATAGCAATTCTATATGGGGAACATAGCAAATTAGAAGCATTTTTTGGCTATTGTTTTGAGTGCTTATGATTGGACAAGGTCTTTTAATACAAAAGAAACTTTGTTTCAAAACAGAGTTTATTCACATTTTATTTTAAAAATCTGTCACCCATAGGTTGATATATAATCAGTG